AAAAATATCAATTGGGGAAGCTGCATTCACTTAACGACTACATGATTAACTAATTGACCATGTGATTTGCCTAATGACTGTGGTGATTCACTTAGCAACCATCATAGAAAAGGTTGTAAAATCAGGTCCAGTCATGTGACCCGCTTAACAACCACCTGTTTAACAACCAATTTTCCAGTCCCTAGTGTGGTTGTTAAGCGAGGACTACCAGTATCTTCATTTAATTTTAATCAAGTTTATATGTGAATGACATTAAATTTTGCTTAATTTGGTTCAGCCCAGTTCTTTGTCTTGGCTCTCTACTTTTTGGGTTGCAGCTCCAGTAACCCCACCATTCAGAAATAAACATTAAATAAAATATATATGCAATACCAAGAAATGCAGTTCACTGTGCAAAATCTTAGCAGTGACTTGTCTTCTTTTTTTCTCCTGAATGTATCTGGACATACTGAAATGGGGAAACAAGGCTTGTGTGCATCCATAATTTCCATATTTACATCAGTTAGCCATTAATTTGCCATCGACAAGGAGTTATTTCCCTTAAAATTCTGTTGTATATTTCTGATTGTTAGTTCATCAAGTTGTACCATTTCATCCTTTATCTTATTTCTGTTTTAAATACTTTCCCCTCCTTGGATCTTTTTTTCATCATTACAATGTGATCCTATTCTTTTCTACTTCAGAGAAAGCCTATTGGGATCACTGAGACTTACCCCCATGTTGTGAGCTAGGCATTGCAGCATACTTTTAAACTAGCTGAAGTATGCAACTATATAATCCATTTGCTTCAGAAGGAAATTGGATGCCATTCTACAAAATGCACATGAATGTTCAAATCTGTGGCCCTAAGGGAAACTGCTATTCATTCTTGCCTCCTTGTCATGATGAGAGATTCCTTCTTGAAAGACACTGAATTAAATCCATTTGGAAAACTGTAATCCAAGAAGAGTTAGAATATGTATGGAATGTAAGGGCCTTCTCTGTGGTGGCTCCCTCCCTATGGAATATCATTTCCCTGGATGAAGACTGGCCCCCACCTTGATACTTTTCTGGAAGGCCCTGAAGACATGGTTCTGCCAGTGGGCCCAGGGGCTGATACGGAGCTGATCAAGTAGTTGATTTGATTGTGTGTAGCCACTGCAGGGGTGGGGGGTTGATGGGCTTTTTGTATTGTGGATTTTAATTCTGTAAGCCACCTGGAGTCACCATATGTAAGTTGGGTGGCCATTTAAGTTTGTTTAATAAATAAATGTATGGAATAAGAGATTTGATCTTTACAAGTTAGCGTATACAGCTTTTTTACTTAAAACATTCTTAGATTTAACTCTGACTGATGATCATAAGAGACTGATATTTTTGCCTATTATAAGTAGCAGTAATGTGATTTCATAAATATCAGATCATATATTCATGTTCCAGAGTTAAAGATGGGTATAATAATACATTAACATTACAGAATCAGATTTTGTGTGTGGGTGTATTTAATTATAGGATTAAAAAAAATAGACTGATTTTTATTATTTCACTGTATTATTGGATTCTAATAATCTGATATTTAGGGCTGTTTTAATATAATAAAGCCTTCTGATTGAAACAATGATAAGACAACCAAGTTCTACATGCTGTGGAATCAGCTAAAGGACATACGCTATGAAGTCATAACAGTACAAGAAATTGAAGACTGAGAAATGCACTTGTGGTAGAGATAATGAAATTGGCAGCTTGGCACTTTCCCAATAGAACTTAAATTGCAATGGCCAAATGGGAAGATGTGCAAAAATACAGACAGATGGTACATATTTCATAGCCTTCCAAGGCATAAATGTAGGACAGAAAAAATAATGAACATGAGCATTAAAAATACATAGAAAGTGTGACTTTTTAAGGGCTTTGTTGTTGTTGTTAGATTTACTTTTGTTTCTAAAATTGATCATTTCCACAGTAAAATTCCCATTTTATCTGTGAAGTGAAGGCACGATAACAAGAAGGAAACAAGATCTGACTGACAGGGGCCAGAGGCAATCTGTATTTTGAAATAAGAGATAACAGAAAGAAATGATAGAAAGGGATTAGAATTCTGTCATGCTAAATCAGGTGTTATAGAACTTGCCCCCTGCCCCTTCTGAAAAAGCTTTATCTTTAGGGACTTCCGTTAACTGCTGAGACTGAATGCATGTGTGAATACAATGATTTGTCAGTTCAACGTTTAATTTTCCACAATCCCTACTTCTCAGAAAAGAAACAGTCCATGTTTATTAGACTACATTAACATACACATCCCTAGGATCTTTTGAAATTTTAAGTAGAAGGGCAGGATTGGGATGGAGCTGGTCCAGGCCTGCAAAGTTTTGTAACCCATTCTTCAAAATAGGCCACTGTAGAATCACAGAGCTAGAAAGAGTCTTCTGGCTAATTCCATGCTGAGTGCCGGGATCCATATTAAAGTATCCCCAATAGAAGTCTGCCCCGCCAGTGTCTGAACACGTTCAGTAAAAGGAAAGTGCTAATGCAGTGTTGTCCAAACTTGGCCACTTTAAGATGAGTGGACTTCAACTCCCAGAATGCCCTCGGCCAGCCATGATGGCGGGGGAATTCTGGGAGTTGA